GTGGGTGCTGAGTATTGGATTGAGTACGGAGCACGTGTGGTATGTATTTTCAGTCAAAATAGAGTCAAGGCACTAGAAGGAAACGCGATGCAATGAAATGAGAGAAAGTGAAATATAACAAATGGGAACAAAAAAAGAGAAGGAAGAGATATGTATGTAGTAGAGCAGGGTGAATCGGTTTAAGCGCAATTACGTCCATTGGCCGAGGCAAAGTTGGAAAATACTACCTCCGACGCCGTTCCTCGCAGGACGAGGTATAGAGAGATGTGTAGGCGAAGCTACCTTAGCTATTCTAGTTGCCGGCCTGTAACGTGCAAATTGGAAGAAGAAGCAGCTGTATGATATTAAGTGAACAACTACATTACCTAGGTACGTACGTTACTTAAGTAAGTAGTTATGAGTAAGTGGCCTAGTTGGTTGGCTGATTCTATCTCCTTGCAACCGAGTTCCATCAGAGTCTTCTTTCATACAATTGGTATCAAGACGCAAAGAAACTGGCCTAGTCTACAAGGGCTGTTCGAGTATCGCGGGCGACAGACGCTCTCCCTGGTTCTCTCCGTACTCTGCATCGTTATCCCTCTCGTCATCTACGCGGAGAGGCTATATATAAAACGTCCTCATCGATGCACGCGTGTCATGAGCGTCATGCTATCCGTGGCAACCTTGGTCCGACCCTGTGAGCGAGCGACTCTGTACGACTGCTCGTGTTCGACGCTGTCGGTCGCCCATGCATGTGTTGGTATGCCCGGCCGACGTCCCTTATCCTAATTTCCCTGCTTCTCCTCGACAGTTGCACTAGATGGCGGATCTGGTGTCTCTGGACTTGGCAGCGTGGGTATAGGCGACGGGGTTTTGGCCCCTGCAAGGCTCTCGTCGCTCGCGACCTTCGTGTCGTCGCTGACTTCCCGGATGGGCCGCAGCCGCTCCCCAATCTTCGGGGGAGCCAGCAGTCCAGGCCGGAGGTCGGATGGGGCTGGGGATGGGGACGGGGATGAAGGCCGTTCCTCCTCAGACGCAGCAGGGGTCTCCGCGCTGGCTACAACTTGCCCTGGGTCCTGCGGCTCCGGCTCCGGCTGCGGCTGCGGCTGCCCCGACGGTTTCAGGCGCTTGTCGACCTTCAGCACGGCGGCCGCAAGCCCGCGGGCGCCAGCCGCTATGAGCTCCGGCCGCTCCCAGGCGAGAAGGCCCGCATCCCCGGTCGCGCGGTTGGTATAGAGCACCTCGTATCGCGCGCGCGCCCAAGCGGGACAGGAATACGGGGGACGCGTCGCCCCCTCCTCGAACACGTCGGCGTCCGGCCCCGCGTTCCCGCTGCCGCGACCTCTCCGCTCGCCCCCCAGGAACACCGTCAGGGCCACGCGCGGTCGTCGTCGCCCGGCGGATCTCGCGCTCGCGCTCGCCTTCTCCGGGTGGCGCTGGCAGTACGCCCAGAAGCGCATGGCGGACTCGGGGCCGGGGAGCCACGCGAGCTGCGTGAAGTTGACGATCTCCGTCGGCGTGAACTCCCTCCTCGGCGCGAGGAGGCGCAGCCCTTTCATCACGATGACGAGGAGGCCCGTGGGGGAGTCGCATAGCGCGTAGGACAGCGTGTTGGGCTCCGCGAAGCCCAGTCCTCGCGGCGGGCTGTCCTTCCCATCGGCCGTCGCCGTCGCCCGGGAACTTTGCTTCAGGGCCGACAGGTCCTCGGTGCGATAGCCCCAGACGGGGGCCCTGAAAAACTTGGCGACGGACCACTTCGCCCAGCCCAGGAGCGCGTCTTGCGGTCGCGGCTGCGTTAGTGGTGGGGAGATGAGGTGAGTCCCGAGACAGGAGTCGGCGTGCTGTGTCGCGAGCCAGTCCGCGAGCTTGTAGTCGATCTGACCCGGGGAGGAGACGCCCGCGCCCGCATTCGTCGCGAGGTAGAACGGGTAGCCCAGGCGTTTCATCAGGGAGTCGAGGAGATCGGCTGTACACGATATGACGGCCGAGTTGGTTGGCAGTGCGTCGCTGAAGCCCAAGCCCGGCAGCGACGGGATGACGAGGTGGAAGGGTTGGTGGTCCGCCTCTTCCGGCTCCGTGAACAGCTTGACGACATGGCCGAGGGAGAGACCTGGAAAGGGGAATGGGGGTATCAACAGTAGCGGTATCGCGTTTGCGCGCGGTGAGTGGGCGTGGATGAACTGAATCCTGATAGGCGATTCAGACTGCGGGATAATAAAACCCGTCCGGAACTGCGGGAGCTCGTTCAAGAGCTCCTCTTGATCCCGCCATTGGTATTGCTCGAGCCTGCGAACGTCGGTATATTACTTTTTTGGATGGTGAATTTTATACCCATGACGGGAATCGCAGGTCATGTTTATGATTAGAAACATGGTGGGACTTAATGAGATGCGCCTGAACTCACCAGAAGTCAATAAGAGGCTCGACCTGGGACTTCGGCTGCCACCAGTCTTTGGACTTGGGTTCGTCAAGCTCGTGGGGCAATCGGGCGATCTCAAGCTTTTGTTTCGTGAGGTTGAGATATCGAGACGAGACCTGAGAGGACAAAGTAAAGTAACGTGTTAACCACTAGGTTATTCGCGTGTTTTACAGTAATTACGGTGTGCATAATTACACCTCGTAGTAATTAAAGCACAGTGTCTCCGGGGAAACTCACATGTATCCTATAGGGCTTCACTTCTTCCGCTGTAGCACCGTTATCTGCTCCCACGGCGTGTTCTTCGATATCAGTAGCCATCAAGACTACGACGGCGTAAACAATATTAGATGAGCGAATGACTGGGTTAACTGACTGAGTGGTGAGGTAGACAAGAAAACGAGCGTCAAGGATGAACGAATGTCACGCGTCAGTCAGATAAGATATAGAAGAGGAAATATATATATACAACCAACAACTACAGTTACGCATAATTATCGGCCTGCCACATGGTGTCGCGATGCGAAGAAAACACACACCTAACCTAGGTTACTTGATTTAATTATATCTTGTTTTAAGGGATGAAGGGGATCCCGGGGTGGCTTGACTCGCTGTGGCTAACAGCTCAACCCACCTGGGAACCTGGATCCTAACGTTGCCAAGCGATGCCCAGAATAGCTCAGCGCAACACAACCCACAACCATGCATTGACAAGGGCCGTTGCCGCTAAGGAAAACAGGGCAGAAGCAAGTTTGCGGGACCAATCACCGTGGCTATCCGGTTCCCATACCCACTGACTGGACGGAGATTAGCATCTAGGTCGTCTGGCTTCGTCTGCGCGCCAAGGCAGGTGGCGGTGCAGACGCGTATTCTAGAACATCCGCGTCTGCTGATTTCTCGCTTTGGCAGGCAGGGCCGGATTGAGGTGAATTATCGAACCGAGATTCGTTTACAAAGTGAGCGAGATGGCGAGAGGGTACGTGTACGCATCATCTACGGTCGCGATGACATGGCACCCTGCAGTTCAGGTAGTGTTTAGAATATTGGCCCCATCAAAACCAATACCTGAATTTACAAAGGTGTAGTACATGTTTCCCATCGCTAATCCAGTCATATAACTCGTTCAAAAACTGTGGGTGGCATGATAGGATCCGTGACTTCGTACGAAGTTACATGTAACCATGATTTTTTCGCGCAAACAGAGATGAGGAAGTGAATGACCAAGCCCGTACGTAACATAATAACAGACGGGGTTAATCAACCATTTCGATTCATCTTTACTTCCCTGCGTATCCATCTATGTCTATATTGTCCTCCATCTTGGCCGCCGCTGCTATATATATATATATATATATACATAAAGATTATAAATGAAGGGCTGTTAAGGGGAAGGAGGGGTGTTGGTATCTAATTGCTGAGTGTGCTTGTCTTCAAGCTGCTGGATTATTTGTCCGCCGATACGACTTCTCGCAAAACCTAATGCTCTAAGTAGGGAATCTTGGTTCGCACCTTGACACAACATGGTGAGAGATTCGAGGACTCTCTGCTCTGAATGAACCACCGCATATCGATTCCGGTCATTCGCTTTCTTCTTCCTGCTCGCCGGTCCACCAGCGCCACTTCCGTCGTCCAAGATTAGCGACGTCGCTTTCAAGGTAACGTATACTACTGCGAGCTCCCAAAAAGCCGCATTGATCTCGACTTACAAGCACCTTGCACCAGAATATAGTCTCCATGGTGCCAAGAACACCAATGACAGTAAATACCACGAACTTGGTGATACGGTTCATGCCAAGGTCCCGAAAGTTGATGGCAAAGTGATCTTCTGACGGTGAAGACGACTGGTGGTCGCCCCGTCCCGACTGCGACGGTGGCCCGCTCTGGCTGGCGCTGCTGGTGGCGCCATCTTTCTTGGCTGGTGTAGAGTTAGAGGATGATGAGAGTAGGCGAGCACCGCCCGCGGTGAGGCTCCTTTTTAAGGTAATGCCAGACTGTCTCCACGTTGGTGCACTGATATCCCTAGAGATATCGATTAAGAGCGAGGAGATGCGCAGTTTGGGTTGTATATGTGTAAGCCGTGCGCCGCCAAGACCGGCTCTCGAAGTAGACAGTATTAAAAGACGAGCAGTCATTGTACAGTTCAGTTGAGAAAGCTGGGTACGATTTCGAATAGAAAACGAAGCAATAATAGAGCGTATGATTAAAGAGAGTTGAGACGGGTGTAGAGAAACTCCCGGTGCTATTTTATATACGTTAATTCTTACTCCTTACGCAGGTCATTCATATGGTTCATCATGTCCAAAAAAAAAACCAACAGTCGCCCAGTGCGCCGATGGTGGCCTGAATACGCCGTATTCATCACCACCTAGTCCATATCCGATCTAGGCAATTTCAGCGCGAGAAGATGATGGTCTTAACAGTTTAAACTTGACAGCACAGACTGAAAAGCACAACAAACTTCGTTTAACAAAACCTACCTGTTTTAAAAAAAATTACGCCACAAAATGCCAAGAAAATAAGGTAGTGACCGCTACCAGTTCATTACAAGGGCAGATATAGATAAAGCTTATGTAAAAAGTACTGAACTGATCAAGTTTAAAAAATGTGCTGTGACCGAGACTCGAACTCGGTGCCTAAGCATGCTCAACGAGAAGACATGGGAAGCTTAGATGTTACCCTTACACCATCACAGCTGTATATGGACCGTGCGCGAATCCATCCACGTCAATTATGGAGGGGTAGTGGTTATGCTACATTATATTCAAAATCTGAGGAGATGAGATACATCCGAGTACGAAGTACTTCATACGTATCGGCAATTGAGAATCTTCTTGGGAGAGTAAGGATCAAGCTGACCAATAGGTACTGCCTAGAACACGATCGATCTTTCTATTACGCTAAACCTTTTTCCATCTGGCGTTGGGGGTAACTGGGAATACCTACCAGAATGTACCTTAGTTCCCTCTCGAGGTAGAACTTTACATGGGTACCTACTTTTTCCCATGACTTAACCTGTACCCTTCTTACGTGGGTTTCCGCCAAGGACTCTCAACGAAACAAATAGACTGCAACATCGTATACTCTATCCTAGCCAGAATTCTAATCGCCGCAACACACTTACACACCTACTCGGCAGCCTAGCATGAGCGGCACCAAAGGCGGCGACAAGATCGACAAGATCATCGCGCGACTACAGCAGCGCATCGCCGAGGGGCAGTTCTACGAAGCCCAACAACAGACCCGCGTCGTTGCCGCACGATACATCAAGGCCGCCAACTGGCCCGCCGCCATCGACATCCTCTACAATGTCGCCCAGTCGCTGTTGAAGGCCGGGCAGGGCGGCAGCGGTGGCGACCTCTGCGTGCTGCTCATCGACACGTACAAACAAGCCGCGCTGACGCCCGACCCCGCCAGCAAGGGCAAGCTACTGGCGTGCTTGCGCTTATTCGACAGCGAGGAGCCCACGCGCAAGAAGTACATTGGAGAGATAATATCGTGCGTTCACGAATCCATCCTGTTCTATTCCATCCATTCCGCCTCTGGATCGCACAATCACACTCTAGCTAGGACAAGTTACGGGAATGTGCTAACGCAGATGCCTTCTCACAGATGGTCCTCGAAATTTGGTGAATACCCCGCCGGCGATCCCGAGCTCCACCATGTCGCTGGCTCCCTATACGCAGAAGAGCACGAAGCTTATGATGCTGAAAGACATCTGGTGCTGGGAACGAAGGAATCCGCCGAGGTGCTGGCCCGCATGGAGTACACCTGGTTCAAGGAGGACGAACCGCACACGGCTGCCCTGTACGCCGGCCGAGCAGTGCTACCCTATCTAATAACAGCGAACGTCCGGGCTGCCAACACATCCTATCGCGTCTTTACCAGCTTGCTTAGCGAGGACAAACAGTCTCAGCTTGGCGTTCAAGACGTAAGCAGCAATAGCGCCGATGTGCGGGTGTTCCCGAGCATACCGCTCCTCAACTTCCTCGGCCTACTGTTGCTCGCCATTCAGAGGGGCACTCCCGAGCTCTACAGACAGTTGACGGCAAAATATGCCAGTCATCTCAAAGATGCCGAGACGTGGAATGAGGCGTTGGAGATAGTTGCCGAGATATACTTCGGCATCATAAAGCCCCGGCAAAGCAATCCCCTGATGGACATGATGAGTGGCTTCTTTGGCGGCGGGGCGCCCACAGGCGGAGGAGGCTCGAAAAGGCCGGCTGTTAAGGCTCCGTCATCGACCACCATGCCAGCGGCGGAGGGTCTAGACTGAGCGGATAGTGCCGGGGGGTAACTGTATCGTAGTGGACAGCCAGCCAGCCAGCCTAGAAATTAGGACGAACAGCATCCCTCATGACCGTATTCAGTGTTCAGTGCACGTGTGGCGGTTCCTCGGCCTCATACATCCAATTGTCTTCGGCCAAGGCGGACACCTTTGCCCTCATGCTAGCTCTGAGTATCTCGAGTACTTCTGTTGCTGCCGTCAGCCTCTATGCTTGGCGCGATTCCACCCGCCGGCCCTCACTCACCTTCTTGTTGGGCTGGCATATGCGTATGCATCTGTAGGAGCCGGACAGCCTCCGCTAACCTTTGCCTTTCTTCTACACACACAAGGGCACATCATCGTTAGCACTGAGATATTCTCCCGTCTGCTTTAGCATCACGACACAGAAGCGGGGTGAAAACGCGTACTCTCGTTCTCCTGGGCCTCGTCGAGCGCAGCATCGTCGTCCGGCTCGTCCATCGGTGGCGTCGGCGGGTCTTCAACCTCGAACTCGCCGTTCTTGTCGCGGACCACGATATCGGAGGACTCGGACGACGCGTCTGCGTCGAGGCGCATCGGCTCGGCCGAGGCAGAGGAGGACGTGGTCGCTGCTGTGCTAGCTGGGCCGCCGCCGCCTCCTCCTCCTCCTCCTCCTGCTGCAGCGGGTCTCGTGGTCTCGGTTGGCGTGGGTCGTCGCGTCAGCTGGCTCTGGAATAGATTGCGTCGCACACCCGCCGCGCTCGTTGCCGCGCGCGTTATGCGGCTTGCGCCCGCACGTAGATTCGGGCCCGGCGCGCGATCGGCCATTTGTTGTTGAGTAAGTAGGTCCTAAGGTTCGGTAGGTTGGAGGACTTTAGCTGATGGGGCTCGCGGTTCTGATGTTGACGAGACTCTTGTGCTCTTGTAGAGGGGTAACAATATTAGTTAAAGTTAAGTAAGTAGTTAGTATGGCGTCAATAGTCAGGTAGGTATCTAGAAAGAAAGACGGTCGCTTCTTGAGGGTTGGCTTGTTGACTTCTAGGTTTGTGACCGAAAAAGGTTGCCCGGAGACTCTAGTTAGTACCTAGGTACTTCTGAAGTATAAGGCACTAGATCATGTACTACTTACATGTACCTCAAGCAAACGCCCTTGTAGTTGCCGACGTGGCTCCACTGATCTACAAACCGGCCAAGTAGGTACGTACCTTGTCTCAAGGAACAAACGACATAACACTACCACAACTTACAACGGGGAAGGTCTCTTTAACTTGTTATTGTCGACAGCATAGTCCAATACCAACCTCAGCTTTGGCAACCCTTTCCATGCTTGGGACTAGTTCCTTCCGTATCATTCTTGGAGCGGCCTGAGCTTCGATCATGTCCTCACCAGCCTTCAATATCCAGCCGATCGGTCGTTTTAGGGGCGACAGTGAGCCTGTGAAACGGCCCAAGGTATACCTAAGCTCTCTATGTGACGGGTGTAAACGCAAACATCCATTGCCTCGCCCATTTCACTCTGGGCGATGTATTTGATTGAGTTTTCTATCTAACTAATGAATCTTCAAGGAATTCGCCCACTTTTCCTACGATGATAAACACGAGTTCCGCCTCGACGACTCGTCGCTGCAGTGGTACTATCCCCCTAGATTAGGAGCAGACCTTTCCAAAGGCTTCGACAAATTCGACAAGCATGATGAGTCTATAGATGAGCATCTAGATAGCCTATTAAAGACCATCGAAGCTCACGAGAAAGAAGAGGGGAAGAAGATCGATGCCAACATCGTCACCTGGCGAGGTATGATGACTAAGGTGAGCAGCAGCCTTTTGTCCAAATATCGTGGTTGCGGCGATTGTAGTCTAATCGTACCTATTGATAGATAATGTCAGCACCATTCGAAGATAGAGATGGGTATGTTAAACACCTTGTAAATAATGATCGAGACGCAGACCTAACAGTTGTGCTCGTGCTAGCTTCGAAATGAACGCTACTCTGTACCAAGTGTGTATACATATCGGTAGCCCCGTGAAACGTATCTGCTGATCTTGTCCAAGGATTGCATGTATGACCCAGCGCCGAGTTGTGTCGATCAAAAAACGAGCAGACCTGATAGCAGCGCAGCTTCATCGAGGATGACTATGGAACGAAGACGTTCTCCAAGGAACAACAAAACAAACAACAACGGGCCCGACGAGGTCAATTTTCGCCAGAAGTCATGACCTATTGGGGTAGGTATACTTCTAACAGCCCTATTGTCTCAAAGACTATATAAGAAGAAGGCTCACAAGTATTGTAGGCTATAAATTCGAGGCATTGTCTTGTCTGCCTCGGCCCTGGGGTGAGGTAAGCCGCGATTTCATCGAAAATCGCGACGAACACGTCGTCAGCAACAAAGCACAATACTGCTCTGTCGTCCGAACCGGTATAGGCAAGTCGGTCCTCTGCCTGGGTGGAGAAGTCGACGCCAGTGAGTCCCCGAGTCTCTCAGACGGCCCGAGTAGAATCAATCGCGCGGAAAAGCTAACGCCGCGGATCGAGTCTGGGACTCTAAACCCACGGAGAAGGGAGCGCCGATCAACTGGATCGAGCTAAAGACAAGCGCTGAGATCCGCGACAATAGGGGGATGAGTAATTTCGAACGCAAGCTGATGAAATTCTGGATTCAATCCTTCCTGCTCGGCGTGCCTAGGATTATTGTCGGCTTTCGCTCACAAGCCGGTATCCTCACGAAACTTGAAGAGATTCAAACCGCCTCGATCCCGGAGACGGCCGCAAAACGTGGCGTACGCAGCTGGGATGCCAACACGTGTATCAATTTCGCGAGCGCGTTCCTGGACTGTATGTTTTCTGCCCTATGTTGTCGCATCCATGGCTCTCGGCATTGTGTGACTAACTGGAACGTAGGGTTAAGGAACACGATCAACGACGAAGGGGTTTGGAAGATCAGCAGACGAGCTGGGTCACAGACCATCGAGGTTGTCCGAGTCGAAGAAGTTGGACATGGGAGCATTCTAACAGAGGAGTTCATCAATTGGCGGATCAAACTAAGTCTCGGCGGCAATGCCGCCATGTAACTCATTCCCTCGCGGCTCTATGGATATCCAAATTGCGATACAACCGCCCCTTTAATCGAACCCGGAAATCGCCGCGACACACTCTATGGATATGTCTATTAATCCGGCTTGCTCTATCTATTCTTATTTGCGCTGAATCTACCAATTCTAATATCATCATGCTCGTAAATCCACGTCTAATTTCCGTTGCACCGGGTTGAATCTACTTGCGCTCGCTGACGTGCTGTACGCCACCTTGCTCGCCGTCGGATCTATGCTGCTATGATCAATTTCAAAGGCCATATGACTGAGGAAATTGTAAACCTATTCACAAATCACGTTAGCGACTTCCGCGATCTGTAGGCCTGGAAAAAAGGGAGGAGGGGAAAAAAAAACTTA